GGTTTCTCTTTTTTTATGTTTTAACTAAAACGACATATTAATGTTTAAATTTAAAAATTTTTTTTATTTTATTTCAAAATTAAGTCCTTTAAGAGATTTATGAGAGTAAAAATAGTTTCTGATCTCAATTTTAATTGTGTCATTTTTTCTTCTCAATCTTAACACGTTCGCGCTGTCTGGGCTTCCCTTAGATTGTGTCTGCAGCTAATTGCGTACGAATTTCTCTATACTGGCATCATCCTGAATCGAATGCTTCCAATTCTTTTAGCAGCTGAAACAAATGATATTCACATTGAGATAAATCTTTCCATACAATTATCATTTGTTTGGATCACTGAAAGAAGAGTTGGGAGGACAATACGATTCGTGGACGATACCAGTGGAGAGTAATTCTTGCGCAATTAGCTGCAGACACAATCCTACTATTATATTTTTTATGAAAATGGGATTGCCAAATTGCTTATCCGCTGGCAAAAATACATTAATGTAGCAGGATACTATGTAGAAAAATAATTTGTTTTCTTTATATTTTTATTCTCGTCCAATAAATAATAAAAAAAATTTTTGTTTATATTTTATCCACCCTCGTATATGAAATATTTTGAAAACAAATATTGGTCATCTCGACGATATTGTGACCAAATAAAGTCGATCATAATTGAAAACAATATACAGTGAAATGATCATTGCGAAGATACGATATCCTTTATTTAATTCTTCTCACGTATTCTGTACGTAATGTGTATCAATAGTGTTTTGTTTATTTGATTGAATACACTGTGCGATCTCAATGTTTTATAGAATTCGACAATTTTTTTTTGTAACCTATTTATTTAAATTATCCTACTTTATTCTTTACGTATAAATGACAATGTTATTAATATTAAATATTTTTTAATTATTAGTATAAAATACAATTACGAACTCGTTACAATTATAAACTCGTTAATTATTTTTGTCATATCAATATAGGTCGACTCGCTCATATTATTTTCAATTATTATGTAAATGTCTTGTCAATATATAAATTACATAGGATATATATTATGTGAAATTGTTAAAACTTACAAAATTTTTCAAATTCCATTCACGTTCACACGCACAGATGTTAACGTTGATTTGGGCATTTATACATGCGAAACATGTACAATCAGTTCTTACGATCGCTCGCACGACAGCATTACATATGTCTTCTTGTTCTGTGAAGCATGATTTTGGAAATTCCCAATTTTACATAATGGGTAATTTGAGCAAAAAATTTTTTTTGAGCATCACTTTAATCAAAACAATATGGAGATAATAAAAACAATTGATGATAAAAACAAAAATTAACATAAGAATTTGAAGCAACAAAATATGATCTAATCCAAATATATTCTAATCTTTAGAAAGAATACTTTTTTAAAGATATTCTTTTTAAATAATTCATCAAGATATCCTTTTCAAACATTCTTTAAGAAAAAGTAAATATTCTAAATAAATAAACAATATTAATCTAAATAACTTCTATTTGCAAAAAGAACGTATTTAATTTAAAAAAAAAGAATATTAAGGTAACATATAAAATAAATAATTTGAGCTGATCAGGTAAAGATATTATATTATTACATTTTATTGCATAAATTTTGAAAAGCGATTTTTCTAAATTGTTTGCAATTTTATTTATAAATTCGAATTTTCAGATAAAGTGGAGAAACGACTACGAATTATTCTCAACGAAGGTTCTAAAAGTATAGTGGACTTCAACAATATGAAACCAGAAATACCGTCCTTTTATGACGAGAAGAAATTTCGGTTGGGACAGCAAGCCTTTAATAATAATATATTTTCCATGATGATTGCAAAACTTTGCGGCCTTGTGTCCCTTCTAGCGATTTCAACCATATTGGATGTAGTTATGTTTACCAAAAAAAGCGGTACTCCTTGTTTGGCGTATCGCAGATATGCAGAGACGGTACTTCATACATGTCTATGGCATAAAAAGGATCCCAACGGCAAACCAAATGAGTAAGATTTACACACACACACACACACACAAATAAAAGAAAATAAAAGTATTATTATACATATTTAAGAAAATACTGTGAAAGAAACACCTAAAATCTTAAAAATGAAAGTAGCATTAAAAAGTATTTTATACATATCTATATTAATACTATATTTAATAAATATATATATTTAATATACGTATATCTTTATAATTATTAATATAAAATGTACATGACAATACAAAATTACAGTTAAATATCTGAAATTTGGTAAAAATTAGGAGAGAGAAAGAGACTAACATTACACGTTAAATTTATAAAAATATATACATTTACTATTAAAGAATTATTTTGTTAAATAAAAAGTTTATCATAAAAAATAAATACTAAAAGTTATAATCAAAAAGTTACACGTATGTCAAACATGGAGGTGAAATTGGCAGTCTACTTATAGAAGTCTATGATTTATATGTGCTTAGTATCCATAGAAATTTTTCAATATGCAGTGTGTAAGACTCTTTCTAATTAGCATGATTGAGGAGTGTAAAACTTGAAAATTAGATCTTGCTTAACATTTTACACTTCTCAATTATGATAATTAGAAAGACCTTAACCCATTACATACCGAGAATATTCTGTGGATACTGAACACATGTAAATTAAAAAATGATATCACTAAAGATGATATAAAGGTCACTGATATCGCTAAAGATGATATAAAGGAAGTCAAAACATCCGATTGTCTTGATAATGGTATAAGGAAGCTACAAATTATTTTATATTATTTTATTTCGTATTAATTACTGTGCTGTTTATTACTCTTTTTTGCTTTTATAAATTTCTCTGTTGAAAAATCATAAATATTAATAATTAAATATTATAATTTAATATTAAATATTAAATTAAAAATATTAAATTAATAT